ACTCATCGGCACGGCATCTTTGGTGATAAGGCACGGACAATGCTGATGACTGGGTTTAGTAGCCAGCCATGTCTCACATGGCCACCTTCATTGGAGTGAGACATCTGCAGCTAGCCTTCAGCAAGGCCCACCACTTTGGGAGTCTGTTCTCGCACGCCCACCAGAGCTAGCATACACCAGCCTTCCAGTGCGCGTCTCTCCCATCATGCTGGCAAGTTCCCCTCACCAGCCTGGGGATTCTGAATGTGCCTTTTCGCCTTAGTCTTGGTGACCCAGCGCTTCTTCTTTTTCTTCGGCTTCGTCTCAGCCTTTTCTGGCTCAGCGACTGCATCCTCATTGTCTGCGATGTCTCCTTCCTGTCCCTGCAGTTCTGTTTGTGTCTCCTTCTCCAGCATGAGGATGGCAGTACTGTCAGCAGCTGGCTCCTCTGTCCGACAAAGTCGTTCCAGCTCATCCATACCTTTAACCCTCTCCAGATGAGGCCAGCAGCAGTCGGGCAGCTGCTTGAAATCTTCCACCGAAATGCCGTCGCAGTAGCGGCAATCGAGCTCCACCAGCTGGCTGCACTTCCCCAAGACCCCCAACACCATCGCAGCTTTGCTGCATCCCGGAGCACGGTTCAAGAAGGTTGCCCGGAAATCTGCTTTCTTTAACAACGGCCACCCGGCACCGCGGAGGCGCTCCCAAGCCTCGCTGGGGATACCGTCGCAATTGGAGAGGTGGATTTCTTCCAGCAGCTTGCAGCGCGCGAGGAGGCCCAGGGCAGCGTGAGCCTCTTCCAGTGCCCGACTATTTTGCACGGGGCGGCTGAAACCGGCCGAGAGATCTACCACTCGGAGCTTTGGCCAGGCGGCCCTTTCAAATGACAACCACGCTGAAGCGGGCAGGGGCGAATGCCCACGCAACCTGAAAACTTCCAGGTCCTGGCAAGCATGCATCTGTGCGGCTCCAAAATGCGGCCCCGGAATCACGTGAGTGAGGTATTTGGGGAACATCTCGCCCTCCGTCTCAGCCGGCACGCGGACGCAGAAGCACCTACCGCAATGTCCCAACATCGGGCGCGACTCTGACTCTGCTGTTGCAGCCTCTTCCTGGGCTGTCGCAGGATTCCCTTCCTGCGGTCTGTACTTTTTGCTTGGGCCGTTGCGGCCGAACTTGCACTCCTCCCACTGGAGCTTTGGCCAACATCCCTTGGCAAATTGCTCATCCCACTCTTGCGTCGCGGGCCACTTGTTTGTGGTAGTGTAATCAAACTCATAATCGTCACCAATTTCTCCAGCTGGGAGGATCTTGCCAAAATCGTCAGCACTTCTGTGGCGACTCCTTGGCTGCCATCCGAGCTGAAACAACCAGGAAAACTTGCACATCGCAGCTCAGGCCAGTAGGCCTCGCGGATCTGCTCCCACGCTGTAACATCATCAAGGCTGGCTCCGCAAAATAATCCTTCATCGTGAGACGCGATTGACAGCTCTTCAAGTTTGGGACACCTTGCCAGGCACCGTAGCAGAGCCACTGCAGCTTGGTGACCCGATTTACTAAACCTAAACTCAAGGATTCGCAACTCCAGCCAGTCGGCTTTCGAGACTTCCTTCTGGATCTGTTCCCAGGCTTCCACTGCTGCGAACTTAAGAGCAAGCCTCAGCTCCTCCAGCTTTTTGCAGCTTGCCAGCACCCGCAGCAGCATTGCAGCAAGTTGGGATGGGGTGTCGCGAGTATAGCCCGAGTCAAAGTCGACCACTCGCAAGTTAGTCCATCGAGCCCGTGGGAGGCCTTCCCAGGTCACGGTTCCGAATACCTCGTCTGGAACCTGAAATCTGATTTCTGTCAACTGATGACACAGCGCTATCATGTCCAGCGTCACTGTGTTGGCTCTGTCACCAAACCAGACAATTTTCAGCTGGGGCCAATGTAGGGAGGTCCATCTCGAAACGGGTTGTTTGCTGTTTTGGCTTGGACTTCCCTCGCTCGTCTTGCTAACGCCTGCATTGTATGCATCCTTGAAGGTGCAGTCAAAAAAATCAACATTCATCACGTTCAGGCGCCCGAGCTGCGCCCAACTCTCATCCGGAAGCATCTCGAGCTTTTGCATGGAAGAGGCACTGATGCAGACAGGCGTTTGCGCCAATGCCAACTTGTGAAGGATCTCTGTATCTTCGAGCGCTGTCAGGTCCAGCCAAATTTCGTTTGCCATCGCATAGACTGCTGCGGGTACTTGCGGAAGCTCCACAGCTGTGGCGAGCATCGTGCATGTAAGCGGCTCTCCGTTGGCTGCCTCTCGCAAGAATGGGTGTTCCTTGTTGTTGCCATGGTGGGCGAGCACACACAAAGCAATACTGCTGCAAAGGCTGAGGGCGACTGATGCTGCAATGACGGGCCATGGCACTTCTTTGGCCTCGGGCAGCCACGTGTCACTAAAATGCACGAGCCCTTGAAGTGCAACAGCGGCCACTTGCAGGCAGATGTGCATCGCAAGGGAGAAGCGCAAGGGCATTCGGGACCGATTGCCAAGCAGCACTTGCCCAGGATGGGCGATCGCCGCTGCCAAGATGTGTACTTTCTCTGCCTCCGGGAAGCAAAAATAGGCCCAGGCCACCAACGCGCCCACGGCCACTGGCCCACCCAAAGGAATGCTTGTCCTGGTCGCCAGGTGCAGCATGTTAAAGGCCAGCAGCCTGCTCGTCACTTCGAAAGCCCTAACCACAAACAAGGCTAGGAAGATGGGCTCCCAGCCCAACATGCCAGGAACGCCCAAAACTCTTGCCTCGCTTTTGTCTCTGCCTGCGTAGCCAAATGCCAGGGATGCCAGGGAGATCCCAATCGAGAAAGTCAACGACCGAAAGTCTTCGGACGAAACAGATTCCACTCCGACTAGTATCAAAAACCAGAAGTTGGTCTGAAGACCTGCAGAGATGACAGCTTCGGCCACTTCGGCATGTTTGGCTCCTAGCAACAGATCGTGCTTGATGCGCATCTGCATTGAAGCCAACACCAAGAGGATCATGTGGCACTGGGTCAGGACGCTGATCAAAATCAGGCATAGTCTGGCAACAGCTGACGGAAGGGTTTGTCTGAACGCGTCGCTTTGGGGGCGTGCAACCGAACCGTCACTCCACCTTGCCGCATCGATGACGGTTGCCACCATTGGAATGGCAACACCAAGGCAACTCAGGGCAAAATACTCGTACTGTCCCTCTGCCAGAAACAAGGTAATCTGCTGAACGTCCGTGACCACATCAAGGTAATAGAGTCCCCCTGTCAACACCATCAGCTCCATCCAGAACATGGCATCTTTTCCTGTCGTACCCTCAACACCATGCCAAGATTTATAGACAGGCCCCAGAAGGTGATCACGGCGCTGCCCTTTGATGGAGCGTAACGCACAGATTTCCAGCTTGGGAGATCGTTTGCTCTCCAGAGAAAGTTGTCGTCCGGGAAACTCAAGAACTCCATCCCCCTCTGTATCCAACTCCAACTGTTCTCTCGAGAGAGGCTCTGCTCGGACGCCATCCTGGCTTTGTAGAACCACTTGTACATTAAAGTAGACATGGGATCCTGCCTGCGATTGCACCACCTTCATCCTGAAGCCTACGACCTTCTCATCAGGCTCCAGCTTCATGGTTGTGCATACCATCATCTCTGGTGGCACTTCTTTCAGATCGTCGTCCGTGCAGAGTTGCAGCTTTTGGACTTCAGAACCCTCATGGAGCCGGAGGCAGAGCTCCTTCAGCATATGGACTTTGGCCTCTTGCCATTCCTTCTCCGCATAGTCGCCATCCTCGCCGCGACGGAGGTTTGAAGCCACAAAGACCGCACGGAGGAAGCGGCCCGGCGGATTCGGTTCTGTGGGATCCTTCAACTGGGCGTTGTTGTCCCGCTGAAGTTCAGACATGGCTCACCGCTTCCAAAGCAGTACACTAAGGAAGTTCCAAGCCACTGCTAGTGCAAGCATTCAATGGTTCGAATAATGCTATGTCGGATGTTGCTGGCAGGGATGAAGCAAACATACATAAACACCCTTTGTGCGACACCTTATGCTGTCAAGCCAAGCCGCCACTGCTTCGCCGAAGTCGGCAGTGTCATCAGCTTCCATGGCGCTTGCAGCTTTTAGGAAGAACCCGTCCCACCGCTCAATAATTATCATTCGAACCCAGAGTTGACCAAAAAAATGTGTGGAGCCAGGCAGATGGTGTGTCCGCGATTTGTTCAGTTCTTTCATGTTCATGATGAAATGGGCTGCCAGGGTTCAGGGTCCTGTCGGTTTGGGGCTCTGGGGCTTAAAGTTTTTCAGCTTCGACTGGCATGCAAATGCGGATCAGTCTCCATCCTACACCGATTCCACATCTTGTAGACTGCAGCTGTCACCGTGCCCTGCAGATAGTCACAAAAGCTTCAGGTACCCGCATGTGCGTTGACGCCCGCAACCTTCGATTCAAGGACGAAGATATACATGAATTGTCCGCTGTAGAAACTAGAAGCATAGACTCACTGTTGGGGTGCACTGCCAAGGTTTGTTGTTTACACCGGGCGCAGAAGTAGTAGTAGTAGTAGTA